AGGAGGGAAACTGAACCACCAGAATAGCCCAAAGAGGACTGGAAGGTTGCTCAGTGGGTAAGGAGTTCTGAGTTGGTGACAGAATGGAGAACTGGTGGGAAGGGGTGTGGAATGGAGTATCCTGGAAATGGCCACCTTGAACCCTTAGCAGGAGCCACCCTACACCGTGACATTCCATTGCAAGTCCCAACTGCATGATAAATAGCCATTCATAACTTGCGCATGGAGCATCTGCAGATTTGTGGCTGGTTCCAAGTTATCTTCCGCTTTGCTCTCGTCGTGTCAAGAAGCCCTCACCTTAGTCCCCACTTCCTAAGATGTGTTACTGATGCGAAAAAAGAAGAAGAAAAATTCCACTCCCTCGAGCAGTTTCAGGAGAAACATTGGAGAAACTATACATGCCAGAAAGAGCCCTTTGGGGCATTTAGCGGCAGTACATTTCAGGCCCGAAAGCTCATTTTTTAAAAAATAAAAAATTGTCCAGTAGCACCTTATAGACAAACTAAGTTTGTTCTGGTATAAGCTTTCGTGTGCATGCACATTTCTTCAGATACACTCAGCTCATTTTTATAGAATTTTGGCAGTGCAGGAAGCAGAATGGAATCCATTATTCTCCTCTTGCTATTGTAAAGCATCACTCCAACATCTTTTCGATTAGTCCAGAGCCTGCAAGGTTTTATGGCCAACACCAGACACGTCTTTAATACAAAACGCCTTTTCCAAAGCATCCTTCTGATTTAAGGCTACGTCTTTTTGTGAATCACACAACAATAAACTGTGGAAGAGTACCTAAGATCTTGAGGTTTAACGAATGGTTTTATGAGTGCAGATAGAAAACCTCTTTTTGTATCACTACTATCCAAGAGAGCTTCCTGTTTAAGGTTTGACACTTTCCATATTATTCTGGTGCTGTGGCCTGACATGTTCCTGTAAGCGAGGCAGACCACTTCATCAAAACTCATTCCAAGGCCATCTCTAGATCTGACGCCTTCTGTTGCATTACACACGGCCAGCGATTCATTTGTGTTCCACTAGCTAAAAGGCTGTCATTATGATGCACAGGTTATTTTAAGAGGCAGATTGAAGATGCAGAGGTGCCTTGGTTCTCAAACTTAGTCCATTCCAGAACCAAAGCGTTCCAAAACCAAGGCATGCTTCCCTGTAGAAAGTAATGCAAAAAAGATTAATCGGTTCCAGATTTTTAAAAACAACCCCTAAAACAGCAATTTAACATGAATTTTACTATCTAACAAGACCGTTGATCCATAAAATGAAAGCAGTAATCAATGTACTGTACTATAAAATAAATAAGACAGTATTGTAGATGATAAAAATTAAAATTAATTTTTTTTCTTACCTGCACTGATAGTTGTTGTTTGGATGGAGGGCTTTTATCCATTTCCGCAGTCACACAATCAATAAGTCAATCAATCAATCAATCAATCAATCAGTAGCTGAACTGGGTTCCATACAGTCACAAAAACAAATTAACCAAAAAAGCCTCAAAAACAAAAATGCAAAATAAATAGCAAAAACAAAAGCGCCAAACTTAATCCATTCTGGAAGTCTATTTGACCAAAATGTTGGAAAACCAAGGCGCAACTTCTGATTGGTGCAGGCACCCCGGAAACAATACCCAACAGCTGCATCGGACGTTTGGCTTCCAAAAAATTGTTCGAAAACCAGAACACTTACTTCCAGGTTTTCGACGTTTGAGAACCAAGGTACCACTGTATAGCAGCACAATCTTGGTTTACTGGGACCAGTTGGTTTACTTAGACCAATGCAAACTGCTGGTGCTGACCTTTAAAGCTTTAACTGTTTGGCGGTCCAAGGTATTGAGATATTAAGAAGTCATGGCTGCTTGCTTGCACATCTAAAGCACAACTGCATGCATCGTTTTTTATCACTGTCCAATGGGATGAAGTGTGCTATGTTGGGGAGACATGATTAAGGCTTCTAGCAAAAACCAACAATTGAATTCCCCTGAGACCATCTTTTATGTGAGCAAAGAGGAAGGCTTTGGAGTCACTAACCTCATCCAAGGAAATTCTCCAAAGGGAGATCCTGATCTGATAGTTACTGATTTCTCCAGCGTGCTTTTAATAAAGATGAAAAATACGTGAAGGTTTAAAAAGGAAAAGCTCCCTCTTTCTCGGATTTTGAGTCCCAGGTGAAATATCAGGGGTAGATCACACGCTGATGTCAACTACAGATCCCTACCTGATGTCAACTGTTTAAAAGAGCAAGTGATGCAAAAGAACCTCCTTTGCCCCAGACCCCAAAGAACCACAGTCAGAGTAGACAACACTGAGGGGAGCTGACCTACTATAAGGCATTTTGGAGTCCAGCATTGCTGAATGAGGACTTACTGAGAAATTTGATCCCCTTTATTCAGGCCTGAATCAAGACAGGGGTCAGCAAACTTTTTCAGCAGGGGGCCGGTCCACTGTCCCTCAGACCTTGGTGGGGGGCCAGACTCATACCTGTCAACTTTTCCATTTTCTTGCGAGGAATCCTATTTGGAATAAGGGAATTTCCCTTAAGAAAAGGGAAAAGTTGACAGCTATCGCTGGACTGTACAGTGGTACCTCTGGTTATGTACTTAATTTGTTCCAGAAGTCCGTTCTTAACCTGAAACTGTTCTTAACCTGAAGACCATTTTAAGCTAATGGGGCCTGCTGCACCACCGCCACACGATTTCTGTTCTCACCCTGAAGCAAAGTTCTTAACCCGAGGTACTATTTCTGTGTTAGCGGAGTCTGTAACCTGAAGCGTCTGTAACCCGAGGTACCACTGTATTTTGAAAAAAAATTATGAACAAATTCCTATGCCCCACAGATAACCCAGAGATGCATTTTAAAGAAAAGGACACATTCTAGTCATGTAAAAACAGGCCGATTCCCGGACCGTCTGCGGGCCGGATTTAGAAGGCGATTGGGCCGGATCCGGCCCCTGGGCCTTAGTTTGCCTACCCATGATCAAGACAATGGCTTTTTGGAGCAACCATAGAATCATAGAATTTGTAGAGTTGGAAGGAAGCACGAGGGTGATCTTGTCTAGCAATGCAATAATCTTTTGCCCAACCTGGGGCTTGAACCCCATGACCCTGAGATTATGAGTCTCATGCTGTACCGACTGAGCTAGTTTAGGGGCAGAGTTTTGTATGCGGAAAATCCCAGGGTTTATAGGTTCTGGGGTGGGATAAGACCTTGTAGATAATATGGCAGGGATGGGAAATGTTTTCAGCCCCAGGTCCCATTCTCTTATGGTGAGCTTTTCAAGGGCCAGGGACCAGTGGCGATTGAGTCCAGATTCAGACTTTTACCTTTTGTCCAGCAGGCTGCATTCCAGCTAGGCAGAAGTCGTGGTTTCTGAATGCACACGCAAACAAACAAACACCCCTCTACCTTCCATTCAAGTAACCAAGAGGCAATATCTAAGTTAAATGGGATATTTCATAGAATTGCGGAGCTGGAAGGGCCCATGAGGGTCATCTAGTCCAACCCCTGCAATATAGGAATATTTTGTCTAAAGTGGGACTCGAACTCAAGACCCTGATACTAAGCGTCTCATGCTCTACCGACTGAGCTATCCAGTTTCAGCCATTCAAAAGCACTTTGAGGGTATACAGAACAGCCAACTAGGAGTATATCTTGGGAAGAAGTGGTGTGGTCTTAGGAGGATAATGAGGGCCAGATAGTGGGGTCTGGAGGGCCACAAGCAACTCCCAGACCTGGGATTGCCCACCCCTGCTAAATAGACTCATGGTCTGGTTTAACAGAAGACAGTTCCCTAGATTTGTGCCCGCACTCCTATAACTCTGCTAACAATAACATTCTGTTTTTATTAAGGCATCGTATAACAATTACAGTGCAGACATAATTATATCATGCTGATCATTTGCCAGGCTAGAAAGGATGATTTGTATGCTCAGGCCCCTGCATGATGTTTCTTAGAAAGCAGCTTGCTGAAGAACCCAGGAGATATTTACATTCCTGGGCGCCAGGATTAATATCCAACTGCCCGAGGCACCGAAGCCTTCAAATTTTGTTCAGCCTTGATTATAATAGTATAAATATTGTTGATATTTTTCATTCAATATTGTCGGTCTCTGTGGGAAATTGGCATAATTAACAACGGAGAATTGCTGCCGCGTAATAGGTATGAGCTTGAACTGAGGAATCTTCGGCTCTCACCATAAGAGTCACAAACGCTCCTTCTCGCGCTCTCTGTTCCCTCTTCTTCAAATTCTTCTGCAGATTCCGACTAATAATCAGGAAGAACTTTCTGGTGGTAGGAGGTGTTTGACAGTGGAACAGATTCCCACAAGATGTAGTGGACTCTCCTTCCTTGGAGGTTCTTAAGCAGAAGTTGGACGGACAGCCGTCTGTCATGTATGTTCTAGTCAAGATTCCTGCATTGCAGAAGGCTAGACTAGACCCTCAAGGTCCCTTCCAACTCTGTCATTCTATGATTCTATGGACTGCAGTCAAAACCACAATTAAATAAGCAGAGAGACCATAATTTATGACTTTGTGAGGCAGTTCCCTGGTCAATCCTCCGAGTATTTCTCCTTGAGAGGTCTAATAAGCCCAATACCGAAGAGGTGGCAATGTATTCAAATGTAAAACCTCTTAGATCTGCTATGATGGTTAGCTCTTGTCCCGTTTGTTCCTCTGATTATATGTGATGTGTGTTTTTTTCCGCCATGAAAAGTTGGAAACCTTCCCTTCTGCGACAGATAACAAAACTGCCGTGGCAGGAAACTCGTGTCCCTCCAGATGTTGTTGCCCTCCAAACTCTCCTCCGCCCTGGCCAACGTGGATCATGGAGAGGGCCCGATGGGAGTTGTAGTTCTACAACATCTGGAGGACTCCGCTTTTGGCTCCTAGCCTTGGCCTAACCTCTCCCTAAAACCCCTTCCTGCTTAGCTGGTCTCCACCTGAAGCTCCTGTGTGAAGTAGTCCATAAAAACGGGCCTTGTTTTCTGTTGCCAGGCAACGCCATTCCAGCTGCCATTGAAGAAGTGCTCTGTGGTAGGAAATGGTGGGATTCTGAAGAACAGCGGCTGCGGCAGACAGATAGACCAAGCGGACTTTGTCATGCGGTAAGACAGTGGCCCCGCTGTGGCATGGCGTCCCTGCTCCCTCCATCCCCCTCGTTTTGCACCCACAACCACCCAGCGGCATGGGTTTTTCCTTTTTGTTTGTGTTTAATTAACCATAGAAGGTCTCTCTTTCTCCCTCGGAGTGATTTATAGGGGTGGGAAAGAGCCATGGCAGAGAGGGCTTTCCCCTCCCTTAACAAGGCAGGCGCCTGTCACTCTTCAGAGGCATCAGGGGAAGATAGCTGAGTGAAGGTGCTTTAATCAAACAGAAAACTAAGAGAGATGGAAGAGCCTCAGGTCCCTTCTGGCTTCCTTGCATGGAAGAACTTTGGACCCTGTTTTCTCAGAAAGAGAAGAGTCTTAAGGCTCCGTTTGCACCATGCATTTAAAGCGCTATGATACCACTTGCGCACACCCCATGGATCCTGGGAACTGTAGCTTGTACAGGCTGCTGAGAGTGCTTAAAGGTAAAGGGACCCCTGACCGTTAGGTCCAGTCGCAGACGACTGGGGTTGCGGCGCTCATCCCGCTTTATTGGCCGAGGGAGCCGGCGTACACCTTCCGGGTCATGTGGCCAGCATGACTAAGCCGCTTCTGGCGAACCAGAGCAGCGCACGGAAACGCCGTTTACCTTCCCGCCAGAGTGATACCTATTTATCTACTTGCACTTTGATGTGCTTTCGGACTGCTAGGTTGGCAGGAGCTGGGACCGAGCAACGGGAGCTCACCCCGTTGAGGGGATTTGAACCGCCAACCGTCTGATCGGCAAGCCCTAGGCTCTGTGGTTTAACCTACAGCACCACCCGTGTCCCATCGCTGAGAGTGCTTTGGCGACCCCTATTCCCTTCACAGAGCTACAGCTCTGTGAAGTTAGAAATGTAGAGTTGGGACCATCTAGTCCAGCAAGGGATCTTTTCCCCAACGTGAGGCTCAAACCCACATCCCTGAGATTAAGAGCCTCATGCTCTACCAAGTGGTCCTGCTAGCTAGGGATGATGGAAGTTGTAGTCCAGCAACAGCTGGAGACCCACGTTTGGGAAACCCTGTTGTATACAATGCTGTGTTAGATGAATCAGTAGTCAGACTTGGCATAAGTTATGAAAAATTAAATGGAAATGACTGAAGCTAAGGGGCATAGCATCTCCTTCCTATGTAGCAGGCCTCGGGTTCACTCTATGATGGCATCTCCAAATAGGGCTGGGAGACACCCCTGTCAGAAACCCCAGAGCACTGCTACCAGTCAGTGTAGACAACAATGAGTCGAATGGACCAGTGGTCTGAAGGCCATGAGGCCATTGCCTATGTAACCTGACCTCCCAGTTTGCCAGGGGCAAAATGAACGGCGAAATCCGTGGCATGAGGAACTGTGAACAGGCCTTTGGTGGATGCCGTCTGGGGTCTTGGAGTTCCTGCCTCGGCCTTGTTTTCAAAATGGCTTCCCAAGAAAGCTAGTTGCTGACCATGGATGTTGACAAAAGGATCCTTATCCCTAGAGCACTGGCTGTTTTATCCTGGAGTATTCAGTACAGTTTCTGGCCCTGTAATTCCTGCCAGCGTGATATATTGGAGCCACAGAGGACTGTTGCTCACTTAGGCATAAATGGAAGAGTTTAATAGCCCTCACAGATAGGAAGAAACTGGCGCTCACTCGGCCCCCAGCCCTCGCACTGCTAATGTCACTTTGAGGCTTTGAAAGGGTTTCAAAGGCGGCAGAGCCGGGACTTGCATTTGGCTTCTCTGTCAGTTCCCCGCGCTGGAAAGGATATTGATGTGATGTGTGTAAGGGAGAGTACAAGCAAGCTGACAAGTTGTGGGTTCCGCAGATCAAGGTGAAGTGAAATGTGAAATTTCACAGCACGTCTTAGCGGGAGGAGATCTGAGGGACAGGAGGGGGAATCTTTCTGAAAAGAAATGCGTTTTACAGGCCCATTTTATCTATGTCAGTCAAACACAGTCGGGTAGAGAAAGCGAGTGGGGAGACGCTTCCTCTCAAAATATAGCAGTCATTTTGGTGAAGTTGGATGCTGGAAGATTCATGACAGACAAAAGGAAAATCTCCTTCATTTAGCACACATTTAAACTATGGAATTGAGCATAAGAACATAAGAGAGGCTTATGTTGGGTCAGGCCAAAAGCCTATGTAGTCCTGCATAATTTGCAACCGCAAGATGGCCACCAACTTGGACTACAACTTTCCCACCAGGTTTGGGAAAGACTGATCTTATCCTTCCCTTGAACCCTGCAGAACATTCCTGCTAGGGCTGGGGAGCCTGGATAAGAATGACATTCTGCGTGCTTCTTGAAGAGTAGATTGTCTGATGCAGGGTTTCCCAAACTTGGGTCTCCGGCTGTTTTTTTGGTGGGTTTGGTGTCGTTAAAATGCATGGCAGCCAATCAGCATATTTCTCCTGTTCCATTGTCTAGAAGCCACAGGGTCTGAATAGCTGGGTTCTTGCTGAGTTTCCATCTGGCTACTCAGCCACATCCTTTGTTTTCTGCAATATTGACTGATGAAGCTATCCTGGTGAGAAAAACAAAACACAGCTCCTACTGGGATGGAGTAAACTTGAGTTCCCAAAGGAACAGTATCCATGACTGATTTGAACATACTTTGAATCTTTTGGCTGATCAGTATTGAGATAAAGTAATTATATCAAATCTGTGTAATTACCGGCCAGTTGCCAATCTCCCGTTCTTGGACAAGGTTCTTGAGCGGGTGGCCGTGGATCAGATCTCAGTACTCTTGGAGGAAACCGATTCTCTAGACCCATTTAAATCAGAATTTAGGCCCAGATTTGGCACAGAAACTGCTTTGGTTGCCCTTGTCGGGAGAGACAGGGGAAATGTGTCCCTGTTCATTTCTCTTGACTTCTCAGTAGCTGTTGATACCATTAACCATGGTATCCTTCTGCAGTGGTCATTCCAGTCCTACTTGGGTGGTCGTTTCCAGAGGGTGATTCTTGGGGAGTGCTCTTAGACCCTGTGGAACCTTCAACATGGAGTTCTTCAGGATTAATTTTATCCCCCATGCTGTTTTACATCTACATGTAAGCGCTGGGTGGGGTTATCTGGAGGTTTGGAGTACGTTGTCAGCAATATGCTGACGACACACGGCTCTACTTCTCCTTTACATCTGCATGTGAGGCAGTGGAAATGCTGGACCAGCCTTGGTAATGGGCCGCATGAAGGCCAACAAACTGATGCTCAGTCCAGATAAGAGTGAGACTCTGTTAGTGGGTGGTCCCCTATGATGAGAGGTTGCCTGCTCTTGATAGGAGCGGGTACACAGCTTTGAGGTTCTTCTGGGTCCATTGTTGTTGCATGAAGCTCAGGTGACCTCAGTGGAGCAGAATACCTTCCATCACCTTTGGCCTGGTGGTCCAGCTTCGCCCCTATCAGGGATAGCTTAACTTCTATTGTCTGTGCTCTGGTAACCTCTAGGCTAGATTACTGCAGTGTGTTATACACTGGGCTGCCTCTTGATGATGGTTCGGAAACTTCAGCTGGTGCAGGATTCAGCGGCCAGGTTGCTCACTGCGACAAGATGGTTTGAGCATACGTCACCAGTCCTGGTGGCCCAACTGCACTGGATGTCAATTTGTTTCTGGTCCCAATTCAAAGTGCTGGTTTTGACCTATAAATCCTGAAATGGCTCAGGATCACAATATCTCAAGGACCACCTCTTCCCATATGAACCAACCCCAGACCCTGTGATCATCATCCGAGGCCCTTTGTCATGAGGGGCTGAGGGTGGCAAGACGGCAAGATGGTGGCTCCCCATTTGTGGAGTGCTCTCCCCAGGGAAGCTCTCCAGGTACCAATACATTCCTCTTCTCCCCAGCCTTTGGCTGATTATACAACCTATGGCTTACTACACTGTAGAGGGGTGCGTGTTTTGTTTGTTACTATGTTATGTATTTTTGTGTTTTTATACTGCAAGCCACCCTGTGATCTTCAGATGGAGGGCAGTATATAAATTTAATCCATCAATAAAATAATAAAATAAAGGGGAAGGACATTCATATGAACAATGAGTCAGAGAACGGTCAGAGAAGGCAGATGACACACTTCTACTGATGATGCCAAGACCTTGTTATATCTTGCTGGGAAGGGAGAAAACATGGCAGGCTTAGATGAGACACCTGCCAAGAATCTAAACAAAAACTTGATTGCCTCTCTGCAAAACGAACAGAAACAGATAGGGCCACACTGGACTCCACACAGATGCAACTAAGTCTACTGCCACCTAGTGACTTTATGGTGACACCGTCTTCACGGGAGATCACAGGAGAACTAGCGACAGCAAGTTTTTTGAACAAAGGCAGAGATAAAAGGTAAAGGTAAAGGGACCCCTGACCATTAGGTCCAGTCGTGGCTGACTCTGGGGTTGCGGCGCTCATCTCGCTTTACTGGCCGAGGGAGCCGTCATACAGCTTCCGGGTCATGTGGCCAGCATGACTAAGCCGCTTCTGGCGAACCAGAGCAGCGCACGGAAATGCCGTTTACCTTCCCGCTGGAGCGGTTCCTATTTATCTACTTGCACTTCATGCTTTCAAACTGCTAGGTTGGCAGGAGCAGGGACCGAGCAACAGGAGCTCACCCTGTCGCGGGGATTCGAACCGCCGACCTTCTGATCAGGCAGAGACACATGTGCATTAAATAACTGAAACAATGACAAGCATTCATTGGTGCAATCCAGTAATCCTTGGGGTGGTATCTCAGGGGGCTGGAGTACCCTGTAGACCCCTCACTCTTTGCAGCCAGGTAGGGACACTTTAGGGAGGAATGTGGCTCTGTGGGTTAAACCACAGAGCGTAGGACTTGCCGATCAGAAGGTCGGCAGTTCGAATCCCCGCGACGGGGTCAGGGGTCCCTTTACCTTTACCTTTTTAGGGACACTTTATTTATTATACGTAATTTATTTAAAGCATTTTACCCTGCTCTGGAGCCATAAGCTCCCAGAGCAGGTTAAGAGCAAAGACAGGAGTGCTGACTCTGAAATGTCACCGAGAAGGCAGTCCGTACCCTCAGCTTGACAATCCAAAAGGCATAAGAGGAAAGGGGACTAGGAGGGAGGAGGAAGGAAAGAAGGAAACTCAGGCACTCTTTCTTAGTTCCAGAGTTCTTGTAATGACCACTTGGGGTGGAAATATTTCAAAGGAGCCCAATTCTGCTGGCCTTTGAGGAAAGGCCCTGCAGTCTTGCCCATGCAGTTCCCCTTTAACTAGAGATGCCAAGAATTGTACCTGGGAATAGATGACCGTCGTGTGTCTATTTCAACTCTACAATGCAGTGATTCTGCATGCAGTGTACCGTATTTTTCGTTCTATAAGATGCACCAGACCACAAGACGCACCTAGTTTTTGGAGGAGGTAAACAAGAAAAAAAATATTCTGAATCTCAGAAGCCAGAACAACAAGAGGGATTGCTGCGCAGCGAAAGCAGTGATCCCTCTTGCTGTTCTGGCTTCTGGGATAGCTGCGCAGCCTGCATTCGCTCCATAAGATGCACACACATTTCCCCTTACTTTTTAGGAGGGAAAAAGTGAGTCTTATAGAGCAAAAAATATGGTATTTGCTGTGACACTGCACTCCAGCCACTGCTTGGCTGTGCCAGTCTTTGGTGCTTGATGGGGTTTTTCTTTTCTTTTCAAATGGTGGAAAGAAAGAAAGAAAGAAAGAAAGAAAGAAAGAGGGGGGGGGGGAAACAGCAGAGAAGTTAAAATACATGGTGTGTTTCTGTTTCTTTCAGATGCAATCTTCCACCTCTCACCAGTGAATACAGCAAGGACGTTGGGTCCAGAACTCAGCTGGTAACTGCAAATCCCAGCATAATTAAGAAAAGGTAGGAAACAGATTGTTTGTTTCGTCTGAAAGGAACTGGCACGCCGAGCAAAGGGTGCTGGTGGGGGAGAGAGTTGGCGTTTATGGTCACGGTGTTGGCAGTAGAATAATTGTATTCCTCTGCAGGCAGCGCTGGAAGAGCTCGGCAGACTGAAGGCCAGAGCCATTTCTCATCTGATGAGTTAATAAATCTTAGCGCGGCTGTGCCACACTCCAGCAAACATTAAATTGCTTTGCAGCAAAGTGTCTCAAAACGGAGGCGGGCATGTTTATGGCACAAGGACAGAATGGTTAGGGTAGCATATACATTGCTGGATATCAAGGGTGCATCAGGTGCAAGACAAATGAGTACCCGTATCTTAATTTCCCTAGAATCTCATCTAGGGCTGGGTGATATGTGGTTTTCAACATCATGATATATCGCCGTCCAAACATCGTGATATACCGATAGATCATGATATCTGAAATAAGGATGGAGCTATGTTAGAGACGTTGGCTGCCTTCATGGTTTTTCCTGCCTCGGGATTTTTGCCAGTGCTGTTCTAATCCGTTTCCCTCTGCTGGAGGCCGGGGAGAGCTGAGCTGGCAGAGTTAACAGGGACTGCAGAAATCGAAAGAAATATTAGCTGGATTCATGGTTTTTCCCACATTGTGATTTCTGAATAGCACACAAACAGAAACACGCATCATGATTTGCAGTATATTGCCAGGTTAGAAATTATGAAACCAGTATCATGATACGGACTTCAAACTGGTTTTGGACGATATACAGTGGTACCTCGGGTTACATACACTTCAGGTTACATACGCTTCAGGTTACAGACTCCGCTAACCCAGAAATAGTTCCTCGGGTTAAGAACTTTGCTTCAGGATGAGAACAGAAATCGTGCTCCGGCGGCACGGCAGCAGCGGGAGGCCCCATTAGCTAAAGTGGTGCTTCAGGTTAAGAACAGTTTCAGGTTAAGAACGGACCTCCAGAACAAATTAAGTTCTTAACCCGAGGTACCACTGTATCAATATATTGCCCAGCCCTCGTCTCAGCTTTTTAAAAAATATTATTTTCAAACAGGTTTCTAGACCTTATGGCTACATGTTTGACAGCAAATTGAAATTTCATAAGTCGTAGGGTGGCTTAATAAGTTGTCCATGGATTTGGGTTAGAGCTCAGTTCTCTGCAGAGATCCATGCTCCTCCCAAGCCAGAACGAATTATTCCTTATTTCTTATTAGGAAGAATAATAATAATTACCTGGCGAGAACGTAGCGGGCGATTCAGCACAGCTTTAAATTCTGTGACATTAAAGAAGCGCAGCCCTTGTCTGGAAGAAGGCATGAAATGGATTCTCCACTCTGCTCCTTAAATAAATACTTAGTAATGTTGAGAAGGAACAGATGACCATAGAGCAGGAAGAAGACAGATTATTTCAGGCGTTAAGAAAGATGTTCCAGCTACTTACATTAAGAATAACGGTGTGTCTTTAAGCCTCCTCTTTGCTGAATGTCCATAAACCCATGAAAAACGTATTTCTTTCAACTAAGTTTGGATAAGATCTTATTTCCTCTTCAGTATAACTGTGTGTCGTTTAACAACAATTAATAATACTTTGCTGAATCTGATCAGGAGGAAAAAACATTGTCTGTTATTTGCTGGTTGAAACACTCATGCCTAGACACACTTGTTTAATTTGATCAATGATAGCTTGGCTCAATTTAGTCTCTTTGCAGTATTTGTTTTCAGTTAATCTCCGTGCCGTATCTCTCAGGCTCATCTTCAAACGATAGTTTAATTAAGCAGTTGGTGGGTGTTCTCAATTAATAAACAAATATTATATCCTTGACCCTTGATGTTGATGCTAGACTTTGAACAAGGGATTGTGGTTCCATCACACATTATTTTTCCTTATGCTGTTCATTTCAAGGCTTGAGATTATACTCATTTGAGTATATCTACATGAAGGAGAGATCATCAGGGGGTTTGGACTGGGTGTCCATCAATATGCAGATGATACCCAGCTCTACCTCTCTTTCAAATCAGAACCAGTGAAGGCGGTGAAGGTCCTGTGTGAGTGCCTGGAGGCAGTTGGAGGATGGATGGCGGCTAATGGATTGAGGTTGAATCCTGACAAGACAGAAATACTGTTCTTGGGGGACAGGGGACAGTCTGGTGTGGAGGACTCCGTGGTCCTGAATGGGGTAACTGTGCCCCTGAAGGACCAGGTGTGCAGCCTGGGAGTCATTTTGGACTCACAGCTGTCCATGGAGGTGCAGGTCAATTCTGTATCCAGGGCTCCCTCTGACCGCTCATCATCACCCTACCACCAATCCCCTGGCTCTGAACCTTCTTCCCCTGGGGGTTCCCATGGGGTTCCCCAGCAGCTGCCTCCTGCCACTCCTCTACATGCAGCCAGTCCATGGCATTGAGGGTGGTGAGACAGTGCCCCTTTTGTCCTAATGGATCATCTGCCATTGTCCTGTCATTGTCCTGCCTTTGGCCAGGGGGGATGATATTCTTGAGATCTTTTCTTGCTCTTTTATTTGTTTGTGGACTGCCTTAGGATTTCATTTTGAAACACAAAGTTGTATCTAAGCTGTGGGTTGCATTCAACCCATTACAATGAATGGTCCTCAGTTAACCATACTTTGAGTAGAAATTAGTTGACTACAACTAGGTAGTTTGACGCAACCCTGGTCTGTTAATTCATAAATTTAAAGGAAGAGATGGGCTTGTTTCCAGGTTTCCTCTCCCATTCGTCTCACACATTTCCCTTCTTTGACAGCCCGGAGCTGAGAAAACAGCCTCCCAACCCAAACCCACTTCCTTCCTCTTCTCTCCCTCTTTGCATTTTTCATTTCCAAATTTCAGATTGCAAACTGGAAGAGAAAGAGAAAGAGATGAAAACTGAATAACTTGCAGCAAGCTGGAGATTTATTTACTTCCCAACATATTTTTTTCTTCTTCCTTCTTATATTTAGCAGCAGCTAAATCTACTTGTCACCTGACCCCGTGACCCCCTAGTATATTTTCCCATCTGGTGATGATTCATCTGTGCTGCAGTTACCATGCGCTGGAGCTGAAGGCAGATAAGGCACATCAGCACATAATAACATTTCCCAGCATTCATAGAATCATAGAATCATAGAGTTGGAAGAGACCACAAGGGCCATCGAGTCCAACCCCCTGCCAAGCAGGAAACACCATCAGAGCACTCCTGACATATGGCTGTCAAGCCTCTGCTTAAAGACCTCCAAAGAAGGAGACTCCACCACACTCCTTGGCAGCAAATTCCACTGTCGAACAGCTCTTACTGTCAGGAAGTTCTTCCTAATGTTTAGGTGGAATCTTCTTTCTTGTAGTTTGGATCCATTGCTCCGTGTCCGCTTCTCTGGAGCAGCAGAAAACAACCTTTCTCCCTCCTCTATATGACATCCTTTTATATATTTGAACATGGCTATCATATCACCCCTTAACCTCCTCTTCTGCCCAGCTCCCTTAGCCGTTCCTCATAAGGCATCGTTTCCAGGCCTTTGACCATTTTGGTTGCCCTCCTCTGGACACGTTCCAGTTTGTCAGTGTCCTTCTTGAACTGTGGTGCCCAGAACTGGACACAGTACTCCAGGTGAGGTCTGACCAGAGCAGAAAAAAGGGGGACTGCTTGCCCGAAGGGACCATAAAGCCTTGGGAGAAGGCGAAACTATGGCTGAATCCATTGGAACAGTAGTTCCCAATTAGGGGTCCGGGGACCCCTGGGGGACCAAGGAATGCGCATGGGGGTTCCGTGGCCCCATCCCTTGCCTCTCCCCAACCAAATGTTCATCATTTTTGCACCACAAATTTTAGGGACTGTTCTAGCGCTGTGCTGTTTTTCAATTTATCGATCCAAATCACACTGCAATAACAATTTGGCTTGGCAATACACGGCAATATATCGCTCCTCACGAGAGGGAGAGCGGGGCAGCCAATTTCAAGGCAACACCCCCACCCTCCTGATCTCCTCCATGACTGCTCCTTCCCACATCCCCACACCTGATTTCCAATTTCGGACATTGTGATATATTGGACTAGCAGTGGTGTCCCAACTTTTTTCAAAGAGGGCCAGATTTGATGAAGTGAAGGGCTGTGAGGGCCAACCATAGGGCCAAACGAAGTTGTTGACCTTTTTCTTTTTTTAGGATTGAAGTTGTCGAGGTTTTTTTAGGATTTTACCTCAGAAAATAAACTGCCACAGGGATTAAACTGACCCATGGATTAGGCCCCTGAAACTAACTTTGGACATGCCTGTTTGTGATGTTTAATTGCTGATATATTGCGATGTTGAAAACCAGATATCGCTCAGCCCTAGTCTGGTTTTTTTTTAGTATACCTAAAATCCTTTGCTTATTAGGGGCCACCCCAAATTCTGATTAAAAAAATGCTTTGCAGAGGTAACTACCATAGAGAAATCAACGTTTTCAAAAGTAGGGGGCCCGTGGCTTGGCTTTTGAAAATAGGGGGTCCTCGGTAATTAGCTAATTGGGAGCCACCACATTGGAGCAAAATGGCACCTAGACATTCTGTTGTGGCAACCCTAGTGCCGGTTTAAGGTGCCATTTGGCGATTAGCTTATATATCTGAGTTTCTAACACTGTGACCCATATAGTTCGGACCTTTGAAATAATTTGATGTCCAATATATTTTTCTTCTTCAGTTAACCTAGCATCCAGTCATGTGGCAGCTCTCCTAAAGCAGAGGGAGCCAAGTTGTGGGCCTTTGCTCTTATAATTCCTGACTAGGGGCCATGCTTGCTGGGGCTGTAGGAAGTTGCCGTCCACAACATTTGAAGGACATCATGTTGGCTCCCCCATTATAAATTATTCTTGGTGCCTCACCCTCCGTTTCGTAGATCCTCCAGGGGATGGCCATCTTATTTGTAAAGTCTCCACACGTATGCTGGATGACTAAGACGCAAGCCAGCTGCTCCGTCGAGTTAAGCTACCAGAGTGCAAGACATAGAAAACACGTTAG